GTGTGTCAAGGGAAGGAGTCCTGCAAAGAGTATATAAAGAGCTTTTTGGCTGCGATTCCAATAAGGGAGTTGCAGGCGGATCTCAAGAAAGGACTAATGTCGTCCACACCTCTCCATCACCGGTTACAGATTGAGTTCCACTACACCCAGTTACTAAAACTGCTGCCGGCTACTCCAGCAGCAGAAATGGCCGCAGACGCTTCACAAAGTCCCCAACTTTCAACAACAGAGGTTGCGGCATAGGAGAAACGTAAATGGTAGGAAGTGTGATTACCCTAACTGTATTTTCGCTTGTAGTATTATCTTTTTTTCTTTCAACTGAGTGTTCTTAATGGGAACTGGATTAACCGATAGGAAACCGCTTAAGCGTTTTGAGGGTCGTGGGAGAGGTAAAAGCTGTGTGTCTCTTCTAAGTTAGGCTGGAAAATGGAAGTGTAAGTTTCCACTGTTTTAAATCTCACTGGGAAGTGAGTAATTCTGTAACATGACCCTGTAAATTGTAATTTCACTTTCAGTTGACTCAGCTCTGGCTTCTTACCGATATCGAAATCTTTTGGCACATTTCATATTTCCTTTTTGCATTGGCTTTTGACTTCTGCAGTTTGATGTAGTGAAAATCCAACTATTTTGTTCTGCAGCTGCTTTCTTTGTGATTTCAATTTCCCATGTGATTTCTGAGAGTTTTCTTCCAGGATTGAATTGCATTAATAGTCCCTGTAGTTTACTTCGATTTTCAGTTTCGTCCTTATAGTTTCGTTCTGTTGGCTCCTTTGGTCTATCCTATCAAATAAGGCAAAATTTCTCCAATTTTGGTTTTTGAAATTAAAAGATGTGCACAAATATGAATGGAAAGATGAAACATGGTTTGTTTGGGACTGCTCATAAGTTGTTATGTCAAATGTAGCCAGAAGTGGTCTTGGTTACTAGAAAGCCTTGATCTAAATTGAAAATACAACGAACTTACACCGACTCAAATGTAACCAAAAAAAAAAAAAAACATGAATGAAAGTGAAAATCCTAATAAACAACACTGGCTGTAGTGCAATTTTCTCCATATTTTATTGATGCCTAGATATTCCATTCTCTATGTTTGTGGTAAAACCAGATATTCCATTCCCAAATTTGATGCATCTCATTAGCTGTAAAGATGCATGGGAAATCTCCCCCCCCCCCCCCCAAAAAAGAAAAAGAAAAAAAAGAATATATATATATATATAAAAGATGGATGATGAAGCTTTCAAGTTTTGGTGTTGGAGGACATGAAAAAGATGCTTTCAAAAAACATGCACGCTATCTTGGAGGAAAAGTTGTGGTCTGAAATTGGTTTCCACCACTAGGGCGCTACTATACCTAAAATAATATGACATATTTGTTAGGGTTAGGGTTAGGTTTTTGCATATGGCATCATCCAATCAAAGGCGTGTGGGGTGTTTATTATTTTGGCCCTCTGTAGTGCACTTTGAAAAACTATGGATTGTTGGTACAAGTTTCTGTCATTGTTCCATGTTGTTTGGTTCAACTTGCCCCACGTACATGTCACTCAAAGCTTGGCTGAAAACGTCATCTAATCTAATGGGAGAGTGAATTCGAACTTGTGAGTTCGTTTGTGATGTTATCAGATGAGGAGTGAGTTTGTGATTGAATTAAGTGAAATGAATGTGGTTTTATTTGATAAAAATATAATCCGTTGGATTTTTTTTCAAGTATGAATGCGTGATTCAAATTGACAGTGTGATAACACATAACATAAACAAAATGTTCAATGATTTTCTATAACCATTAAATTTCACATTTATAATCCTTATTTGGCCTAATCTACAAAAATGACTACCACAAACTACTTCACTATTCTATTTCAATTTTTTTTTTAATATAAGCGAGATTTTATAGTACATTTGTTTAAATTACGACGGAGATGGATTTAATTTTTGATGCAGAAAGAGGAAGCACACTGCTCTAACTAACTTAGATAAGTCAAAATCAACTTATTTCTGATATCTTTTAGGCAATGTATGTAGCATAATCTAAATAGACGTTTGTTGATACTATATTCTAAAGTACAAATATCTCGTCATTCTTATTATAATATGTGACTACTTATATTAAGCTACAGTATTTTTTTGGCCAGTTCCTTTGCATTTTCAAGTCAAATTTCGATTTGTTTCTTTTGATAATTACCATGTGATGGTCAACTTCCGGCTTGAAGAAGTAAACAAACAGAAAGGCCAAGACAAAGGCCTTGTTGAAGTAAGGGATGTGATATCTACAAACTTCATTTTACTTCTCATACATTTTTTTAATTTTTGGCCGTTGGATTAGATGAATTGAAGAAGATCAACGGATAAAAATTATCAAGGGTGTGTGAGAAGTAAAATGGGGTATGTGGATAGCACATCCGTTGAAGTAATTGTATTTACAACACAAATACAATAGCTTGAATGGAACAGTTGACAAAATGTTAGAAGGGCCATCAACATAAAGGATATGGTTGAGCCATATTTTTATATTTCAGTCTGTTTATACCATATTTAGGGTCTCGTATTTAGACCTCGTATAAATACTCGAGGGACTTAAATGTAATTATGTGGTAAAGGAAATGGTAAATATGTAATAAGTGAGGAGTCCTTATTCTATAAAAGGACCCCTCACCCTCACAATTAGGGGAGGGCCATTTCTGAGGCCAATGCCTAAGGCTCATCACTCCCTCTTCAAGCTCTCATTCACAGAGCTCTCTCTCTCTCAAATAAATACACAATCAGTGTGGATGTAACCCAAACCTTGGGGTGAACCACGATACATCTTGTGTTATTTATATTACTTGCAGATTCATGGTCGGATTTACGTTGTTCCAAGACCTCTGGTTTTGTGCATCAACACAGTCTATGAAAAAAAAAAGGGAGGATTTTTCACTTACTAAGTTTTTTCTTTTGACAACTGATAGTAATAGTGGGTTAAATTGTTAATGTTATATAAGAGGAAAATTAATAGAAATCGAACTCGCACCAAAGTGCACAAGCATTTCCGCCACTGCAAAACGAAAAAAGACATAAACTTTTAATACAAAGCTTTTAATATTTTCTCAATTGGGACCGATCTATGGGCTTCAAAGTGGGCTTCATCATTTGGTAGACCAGTTTTTACACAACTTGGCGTGATGGCCACACAGTTTGCTCGTGAATAGCAAACAAGATTGTGAGCTCATTCATTTTCTTTAACAAGTCTTCCTTTCGCTTTTGGAAGGTAGATTTTCGAACTTTATCATTCACTATCCAGGCAAGCTTCTCTCTGTTTCTAAGCAAGTTCTATTGCTTTAAACCACACTATGAAAGTATATATAGGAATAGTGGTTATGCATAAAAGTTTAAAAATATATTACGGTTTTTTTCTAATTAGTAACATAATTTAATTTCGCATTTAGCTACTTTGCGCAATTTGATATTATTAAATGCGGTATATAAAAAAGATATCTATGCATTCTAGAAGCCAATATGTTTTTTAAAAGAATTAATTGTATGTATTATGCTACAAATTAACTTTATTCGTAAGGAAATAGGAGTGTGTTTAGACTATTTTCATTGAGGAGGGCTCAAGCCTAAAGGGCTAAAGGGCTAAAGGGCCAAAATATGTATTGATTTGTACAAAAATCATCTTCATCCGATAATTAGGCTAAAATTCAATGAAGCTCGTCATGCCAAAACATGGTCGAAAGGTATCGGGCTAGCCAAACTTAGCCAAGTTTTAACAAAAGCAGTATGAACGACAAGTGTCCCGATCTGCTTTAAACCATACCCAATGTCAATGTGTAGGCACATTGTTAAAAATGTGATGAGACCCTCCTCCCCTTGGGGATGAATGTTCCATACCACGAACCAAATGGACTTGGCCTTCTTGTAGGGGTGCAAAATATGTTAGGGCATTTCCAATGAAAAATGTAAAATCTACATCTTCGCCAAATAATGTAAATTAAAACTTAAATATATATACATATTTTTTTTACATCTTTTGGTAGTGGGTCATGCCAATCAAAGAGAGAAAATTAAATAGAATCTCAAATTTACACCTCTCTCATTGGAGCAGATCTCCCATCTACTTCCAAAAATGTAGAATGGAAAGTAAATATAATTTTTGCATCTTAAATTTACATCTCGCCATTGGAGATGCTCTTAATTTGATTGGTATCTTTTCTCTCCTCTTGCCCATCAAAATACAAAAGAATTGAGACTAAAAGTTATGAAACTTAAAGCCGCTACTACATTCTTCTTCCCTTATAAGTGAAAGATTTCAGGTTTAACTCCTCTGAATGACGAGTTTGACACTAAATTATTATGACTTAGTCCAAATTTTTAACTCTTAGAGTAAATATTCATTATGTTTATAAAAAAAAATATTATATGCTTTATCCCTTTAATATAAAGTTGCTGGCCTGAATGTTCATTATTATGAGCCCCACAGCATACATTTAGTATATAAACATAAACTTTTTAATACCAATCAATGACTTTTTATCCAAAGTTTAGGAAGAGCCATGTGCATGTTCTTCCATAGCCCATCATTGGAGAATTTGTATCCGACCACAATTACAACTTTCATATCTACTTGCAACCTCACCACAATTCAGCATAATCAATTCCTAAACCCTATACTATTATGACATAATCCAAACTAAATGAGTCTAAATCTAGTTCAAGCATGATGTTTTATCTAACACAGATGCGGTGTTCCTTGGCGTCTGAAGGATATTATTGAAGACATTCGGTGGATCGCTTCCTCTTTTATCCATATTTCTTGAAGTTATATTTTTAGAGAGGCAAATTTTCTTGCGGATGCTGTTGCTAATTTAGGCCGAGAATACTCATATTTGGGGATAGGTCGCTACCGCCAGCAGCGTACCCTGATTTTTTATTTGACAAACTTGGCTCCGGTTGTACTCGTTCTAATGTATCTTCTTTCTCTTAAAAAATGCTGTTTTGCAGTTGTTTTGGCTTTGAAACCGAAACGAATGGAAATGAAAACTTCCTTACGAAAAGAACATTATAAATATTACAATCTACTATACATATCAGATCCCTACAACTGAAATTCTACAGCATCAAATTGTTAGTTCTTCGTACTTCGGACAAGCTAAGGCATCACAAACACTAAGCGTCTTGCAACTCAGAAAAGTTATAACAAGAAAACAGGAAACACTAGTTTAGTTTTCAGCAGCAGATGGAGCACTTAGTCAAACCATTTTCGTTGCACTCCGGACATCTAACGCACAACTCGTCGTGTTCATGATCACCATCCGTGAAAACTTTGCGACTGCCATCGCAATTGACGCACACAATGAAGCGCACGTTGGCACAGCCGGTGCATGGGGAGCTAGACAGGTTGATTGGGATTCCTTCTAAGAGCTTCTTCAGCTTGCCTTGCTCATGAAGTCTTATAACTTCTTCAGCTCCACCAATGTGCCTTCCCTTGATGAAAAGACTCGGAGGGATCACTCTACCGCCAAATAACGTCCACAACTCTTGCCTGAATTCCATGTGCATCGAAACGTCCCTTTCATACACTGATACTTTGAAACTTTCCAGTAAAAAACGGATTGCCTTGCAGTCCTCGAATGTTTTCCTAACGCCTGTCATGCTTGTTGAATATAGAATGACAGAATCGCCTCCTCCTGGCGGACACTTCTCTTCGAAATCTAACAAAGACGGAAGTTCAACATCCTCATCATCATCCTCTGCATCATGAAAAATGTCATCCTCCACACCTGTTTCTTTGGTTTCCATTGAGGGTGGTGTAACATTCTCCTTATAGACAACATTAAAACCCAATCCCATATCTTCATCTTTGTATTCCTTAACTACAAGCTCCGCTGAGAGATTGTTCTTCCTCTGGCCATCTTCGTGTCTAAGAACGAGCAGAGACGGTGTTTGATGGTTCGGATTGGAGAACTTTTCCGCCGGGTTGAGCTGAAAGAGCAGGCCATGTTTCAAAGTGCCAATTGTTGGGATGGACTTCAGTTTCTTGAGAAACTTTCCTCTCATTCCCTTCATCTCTGACTCTTGTTTTGGTTCATGGAATGGCATGTGATATGATCACATTGAGATGATCACAAAGAGTGGGTGGGAGAGGATAAAAGGAAGAGTGTTTTGGGGTGAAAAGGACTGGTCAGGAGATTGAATGTCCATAGTTGATGACATTTTTCCTTTTGGTTTCCAGTTGCTCCAAAGTGACAATTCAAAAAGTTAAAAAGTGTTGGGATGCTTTCTAGAGTTTTCGGTGGGAGGCTGGGGCATCCCCTCTCCCTCCCTCTATTAGTGCTAATTGACCCTTCACCAAATATAATTCATGATTTATTAAGTGGTGTAATTGTGATTAATTCCACCACCTAATTTGAAGAGTAAAGGACTCAAATACTCATTGATGAAAGGACATAGTTTTTCGGGTCAATAGTACCATGTTATGAATTTTAACCTTCCACATGGCAAGAGGTGATGGGTTATGGACAATGCCACCTTGGTGTTGTCCTCATCTTTTATGTAGGTCACTCTTCGTTCTAATTTATTTAGGAGGAACGGATATGTCGGATATTCATTTCCTAACATATCTTGGGTTTACTAACTCAAGAAATAAAAAAAAAAAAAAAAAGTGGATCCTATGTTGAAATTAGGTTTGTCATGCTTAAACAACTCAAGATGACCGATGAGGGTTTATCTTGTACCTAAATAACCATACATAAATCCCACAAAATTCTCTTTCATAACTTGTCTAAAATAAACATACCCTGAGCAACCTTTTTATTTTGGTTTTAACCCACATCTTTCGTGTATGAGATTGAATTCAAGATTTCCTCTAACTAAATAGAGAACGGATGTCACTACAACAAATAATCGCGAGTAATCACAAGAGTAAATTAATTGGTCGTGTGACACAGGACAAGAAATAATTCCGGGGAGACATGGTGTGCCACTTAGGCCATGATTGGATCTCAAGCGAGCAAAATCAAAGCTCTCCTTTTCCTCTTTTTATCAGTTAGGAGGAACCCTTCGAGGTAACAGCTAAAGTGAAACTCAAAACTTTTTGTACACGCAATCACACCCGACCACGATGATACCCATCATGTTCAGCTCAAAACCCTCCACTAATTGTGCTAATTAGTAAACTAAATGTTTGCAAGTCAGATTATGCCCACGAGTTCGAATGATTTCGTATAAACGTTATTATCTCATCTCTCTCCTCACGTGAAACATCAAAGAGAAGACAGTGGTGTAAACCCGACATACCTAAGTTTGGCAACGATGGGCCACCGTGACGGACGGCTGAACGCAACCTAGTTCTCTTTAGGACATCAATACGAAATTGATGAATCCGAATTTGAGACCTCCTCGAACATTGGGAAGAAATTTACCACAAAACCAAGAACAAGTTCCACATATCCTTACCATACGAACATTCATTCGTAGCCATCCACCAATTTCTGTATGGTGTTTGAATTTGAAGGACAGGTTTCTGAATGAAGCAAGGCACTCTGGAGTTGCACATGAACTTGTGCGACGCCAGTGGAGCTATTCAGTGATTTGGTTAATATAACGGTGAGCCGCAAGAACCAAAATAATTAGACAGAGCTTATCATCCTATGATCATACTTAACCATGCATACTATAACAAGATCTCGTATTTTAATTCCTGTTCCATTAACTTTCAATTGTCTCAACAAGAAGTAGATGGAATGATAATAATTTACACATCACAACATACCAGCGAAGTTATTAGTATGGAACGAGAGAATTCTTCTTACATGCAGTATAACGTTCTAGATAGTTATATCAAATGACCAACATTTGACGCGCTTAACTATCAGCCACAGATGATACAAATCCGATGTCAAAATCGAAGGCAATGCATGTCAGCTCATGTTTGCTTCCATCATACAGCCTCATTTTAAGAGAGTACGAACCCTGCATTTTACAAACTTGGTCAGAACACTGGACATTGCAGACAAATATAAACAAAGAGATGATGACAGTGGCAATGATGACGGGAACAGGGTGATTAAAAAAGCAATTAGAGAATCCAAGAGGAAACAAATCAAACACAATGCATTAGCAATTTGATTTACGAAGCAGAGTGACGTATATTACATACACAGATAATCAAATCATTATCCCATGAGCTATTTGCTACTTGTTCTCTGCAATTAACATTGTAAATGCAACTAAAGAATATATTGACTCTAAAAAACATGGATGATGACAGTAATTTTGCATCACAGGAATGTCTAATAAATGGAGATTGAGACTCAATTAAAGTCAAATCTCTACTTTCATATACAAAATTCTATAAACAGAGCTGTAGTAAGTTATGACAAGTAAGTGGAAACTGAATTGAATATGCCCTTCAGAAATGACATACTTCATAGACAACTTAAGGAATGAACTAAAATATGTTAGATAGATGGGATTTGAAATGCACTTCTTATCATTACAAAGGCATATGAGAGGGATTTGGAAATCACCACCTGGGAGGAGCCACCATTTACAAACCCCTCATACATGCCTCTGCAATGCTCATGAAGTGCATTTCTATTCCTCCATAGTTTATTTCTTCCGCACTTGGCCTAATTCCCTTGGGACTTGGAAGTCCCTCGCACAAACATAGAGTAAGAGTTTGTTTTAAAGGATTACATAACTATCCAGAAAAGAGACATACAACGCAAAATTGAGGGGTAGAAGAACAAAAAAGAACTCAATATGTTTAAATATTCTTGACGTAGTATCAACAACTTGGTTACAAAAAAAATCGCCATTGAATCCATAAGACTAGGCACTTTGGCATACTATCACTTAGGCCTCCCAGGTTCAAATAAGTACTTTAAGAGTCATATCAGAGTTGGTCAAAGAGCCAATCAAGCCCCCGGTGTAACCAAAATAGTGTCAATCCAATAAAGATTATATGGCGGTGCAAGAAAATTTTGTTTGTTTGAGAATATACCAACAAATTTTTTAGCTTAGTACAAAGAAGAAGGTGCAATGTTGCACATGCAAAGAAAGAGTGAAAAGGATAATGTACTGCTAGAAGCCTTGATTGGCTTCTATTAGGAAAACCACAAAAACCTTGATTGGCTTTATGTCCTTTTTGCACTACACAGAATAAGCGCGATGAGGAATATTGGCAAACAAGCAACACTTTCCAAACATGCATTCAATAGAGCGATAAACTGTGCAACATGGTTATCAAACGTGATAATAAGGCATTCGACTGTCTTCATTCCCCTTCTAATGTGACAAGACAACCTAACAGTAAAATAAATTACTTCATTGCATTTCGGACGGGATCACCTTAAACCTTGTATAGGCATAGATGGAAACCAACAATTACACTCATAGGCTTATACAAGTTTGTAGAGACAACTCACAAGTAACACTGAGAAACTTAAAATGAGGACTTACAGGTGGAGTATATCCGGGTAAATCTTGCGAGTGGGCAATCACGAAATCGCCAGTTGAAACAGGGCAAGATGTTTCTGCGCAAAGGTCATGAGTCTCACTGTGGATGTGCCAACCAAAGTACGAAACCTCAATCACCAAATTTCCTCCAGAGATTGATGTACCTGTTACGACATATACAAGTTTACTCTAGTCAAAACTAAACTCCCAAAAAGTTTTCAGACGATGTTCGATCATCCAGAGTCGTTTTTGTGTTTATCTAATAACAATGACATGTAAACAAAAAGTCACTCAGAAAGTTTTAAGTGTTAGATAGAACTAGGACCTGTAGTTGCAGAAATGCTGAAGCTGGCAGGCTTGCCTCTCGCCACGGGGTAAGGAGTAATGTCAACCGCGGAAACCTTGACATCATAGTCAGCCGTCTTATCTGAACATATTCCAAAAATCCGCTTAAGTTTCATTTAACCAACACCAGTATAACAAGAAATAAACAAACCATAATAAAATTCGACACCGAAACACCATTCCATTGAACCATGCATCCGATACCAAAATTATCCAAAGAGAAACAAAACCCAAATTTTATTTGTTTGTTTAAATAATCAAATATTGCAAATACATATCAAAGATGTTAACCAACTTTGTCTATTCAGCTCGAGAGTTTAGATGCATATACATATTAAAGATTCCTTCTTGTTGTGATTCCATCAAAAACAGAAGAACCCAAATCAAAATTGACTACAAACAACGAAACAATCAGTTAAATTAGTGTAAAAAGTGGAAAACTTCCGATTTTCTCAGGAAACAAACAGAGAATAGAAAACTTGTTCCGAAAGTAAAGTACGATGCTTTCATAAATCAAAGGAAAGAGAGAAGGGTTAGAGAGAGAAACCCACCGCAGTAGTTGACGTCCTTGGCTTGGATGAGAGGGGCAACCAGAGAGAGAGAAACTAGGAGGATGAGGGGGACCATGAACTTCAACTGGAAAGCCATATCTTCACAGATTGCGTTGCTCCGATTCGATTTAATATCTATAAATTCTGTGAGAAATTAGAGTTTATAAAAGTAGAAGACAGCGGAGAGAGAGAAAGAGGAATTTGGATGAAGGAAGGAAGGAAGGTATGTATAGGAATAGGATAGCTAAGAAGAGAAGAGGAAGAAGTAGTCTGAAGGAGCGACGACTTTTTGGTTGGAGAAAGACAACAGGAACGGTAGTTGAAACCAACTAACAGAGACTTCTTATTTACGGTTTTCTTCGCTGGCTCGTACTCTATATTTTTATTTCTTTTCTTTTTGGTTTAGGTTGAAACAACTATTTTCTTTACTAGCTCCAAAAGTAGGTGTAAATACTTGACAAAACAAGGTGTAAATACATATTTTAATAATAGAGAACTTTAACGAAAAGTTTCTGTTACTGTTCATTTTAATGAAAAATTATATTTTTACACTAAAAAATCAATCATGGTACTATTTATTTTACCTTTTATTTTGTCTTTATCGTTAAAACTCAAAGTTTTCAAGTCATTTTCATTTTTTTTCTTTTAATAATATTGATTTTTCAAATTTGTATGAAGATGTTTTATTAAAGATTTTCAAGTTGTCCTAATCAATTTTATTTTAATGTCTCATTTAGATGTACTTTTACAATAACCATAAATGCTTTCGGTGTTGCAAGCTGCTAATAATAATCATCCCTTAGGTCCCCTTGTTTTGGCCTGCCGAGAATTGCTTTCAAGATCTTGGCAATGCGAACTTCAACATGTCTACCGGAAAAAGAACTTCGTGGTAGACAGTTTAGCGATCTATAGTCTTAATTTAGATTTAGGTAATTTTTATTTTGATACTCCTCCTTGTTCAGTTAGTTTCATCCGTGAGGATCGACTTGAGATGTTCTGATCTAGATTTATTATTGAGTATGTTTTTTTGTGCCCTTGCTTTTAGCCCTGTTTTTTCAACCAAAAAAGAAAACTTTTTGGTAAAATTGATTTTGGGTTTCAAAAGCATTTTAAGTGCTTTTTAGAAGAAGCACCAGATATGTATTTCTTATATGAAGCATTTCACGTGCTTTTCTAGGATCTACTTGAATTTTTACTAAAAATTGGTTTCAAAAATATTTTCACCAAAATCATTTTCAATCGTTTTAAAAACTATTGGAATAGATCATAATCACAAGTATGGGTTGTAATTGTCACTATAGCTAAGTTATGAGTTAAAGTGACGACTACAACCTTCCAACTTGTCATCTCATTTCTTTTTCAACCATACTTCTCATTTGTCAATGTTTCTTTCCCTAAAATCTGGGATTTCCGTACTTGTATATTGTTTTTTGTTTAGTCCTTGTTTTGTCTGGTTGTTAGGGCAGAAATAATGGGATTGTGTAGTGGCTGAAGCCCACTGTTTTGTAGTTAGTTTCTTTGGCTCTTTAACGAGCTTGGATCTCTCCTTGTAAAAGTTTATGATCAACATACAAACCTTGAAATTCAATATGGTATCAAAGCAGTAACCATAGTGGTCTGTCTTTGCATATCTTCTTCAATCTCTTTGTTCTTCCATCTGTTTCAAATGGCTAAGGACAACCCTCTCAGTCCTGATGTTGCAAGCTCTAGTGTTTCACCCACTTCAAATTTTACTGAAGTAGAAGTTAATCCAAATCAAAGACTCAGTTCAGTTTTGCTGAATGAGTTCAACTATCTTCCATGGTCATGAGTAGTTTCACTTGCTCTCGGTGGAAGATCAAAGCTTGGTTACGTGAATGGAATCATTCAGGCACTTGAAATCTCATCACCTCTATATGAGACATGGCTATGCAAGGATCAACTGGTCATGTTTTGTCTTCTCAACTCCATGGAGAGGAAGCTAGCTGAGATCTTCAGCTACTCATAGTCTTTTTTTTCATCTTTGGAAGAATGTCTGTGAAATGTATGGAAATTAAAACAATGTTGCCCGGATTTTTCAACTAAAAAGGGATCTTGCAGGTTTGCAACAAGAGAGTAAGTCTTTTGTTCAACACTTGGGTGATATCAAGAGTATATGGAATGAGCTTGATGTGTATAGGCCTCACACCACATATGCTTCTGTGCTTTTGAAGAAAGTTGAAGAAT